GGGGGGGGGGGGGGGGTGGGGTGGATGTGGAAGTGGGACACCCACCACCATGGAAATGAATTTCAGCATAAGCAGAACTTGGAATAGATGGTTTATATATTTGTGAAGGCCCAATCACTCTGTTATCATGATACCCATAATATTTCTATAGCTGCTCTTTGTTACTTTCTTTTGATTGCTTTGTTCAGGAGTTCTGTGGATTCTTAGTTAAGGAAACATTTAGGTGGAAGTAATGATAATCCATATTATATTTTTCACTGAAAATGAGTTCACTTAGCTTTTACTGTATTCTTTCACTTTGTAAGATCAGGGGGCAATTAAACAACTAAAGTAATTCTTGATATTCTATTGAGCTGGAACAATGAATCCTACAGCTACTGTAAATGATGATAACTGCATTTGCTGCTGCTTGAGGTAATCTGACTGGTCAGCTCTCTGGCTCATTATCCTAATATAAACTCCAGTAAGGAGGTCTATTTCTGTGGTTCAGACAGAATTTGGAAAGATTCTTCTGAGAATCAGTGACTGCCAAGTCCTGTTGAAGTTTAAATGACTTCTTCAAGTACTGACCACCTGTTAAAAGTAGCAGAACTTGGATGAGGATTGTAAGGAAAGAGTGAGCATTACTGATGTATAGAGGTATGAACCTGCAAAAGTAAATACAGTGAAAAGAATTTAGTTGCTCGTGTATCCTTCAGATTTTTTTTTCCCCAGGGAGGTTTTATTTGTATTTTTAATACATTTGGAGCCAAACTGTAGTCACAGGTGTAGCTGTCTATTGTAGGTTAGCTTTTAAGACAGGCGACTCTTTAGCAGCATTAATAGACTACACAGATTTTATGAGCTACAGAGAAATGAATTGCTCTAAATGTTGTGACTTTTTTGCTTCTTCAGTCTTAGAGTAGAGTTAAATTTGTCAAGCGGAATCTATGCTGGGTTGTACTTTTGACCTCTACTTCATAGAAGAGATTAATTCAGGTGGGAAAGGACCGGACCTCTGGAGGCTGTCTAGTCCAACCTCTTGCTCAAAGTAGGACCTAACTTTGAGGTATATGGGGCTTTCCATGTGTAATCTGAGTTTTTTAGGGCTTTGGAGTTGTTCACACTAGTTTGTTAGTGTGAAACATAACCAGGTCATCTGCAAGTTGAGAAGTGTAGAAATACTGGGAAAGACAGTCCAGTTGCATTCTGTGCCTGCTTACTTGGTACAAAGGTGGGAAATCATCACTGTTGCTCAACCTGCTGGCAATCTGTTAGCACGGTTGGTTTCTCTCACTACTGTGCTTAGTCAAGATGCAGCTTTCAGATCTAGGGGGTTACAGTGAGAAGACATACTAAAGCGCAGGTGTTCACTCAAAGATGTGTCAGTATGGTATGATGTTGTGATACAATTGCTTATGTCAGCATTCGATTCAGATAACAAGGGCCTACATTTCAGCTGAAAATGTGATTTCCACCTATAATTTTCAGCAGAGAGATGGAGCAGGATGTGGGCTTGCAGGATGAGATCTGTTCTCTGCAGAGAATAATCATTAGGCATGGCAACTTGTCATTTCCACTGTTGTATTTAAGAAAATCATATAGTAAACTTTACTTAAAGCACTGTTTCCCTCTGTAATTTTCATATACTAATTGTAAGTGAATGTCTCTTAATCATGAAGCGTTCAAGTGCATGTCTACATACTTGAAACAGAAGATGATGTGAAACCCAGTACAAATGGAAGTTATTGGATAAAGTTAAAGCCTCGTTTTTGGTTTGGTGTGGGTTTTTTTTTTTTTTTTTTTTTTTTTTTTCAGGCAATGCATTATTGACAGTCAGAAAAAAGAATGGGCACTCAGGAAGATAGGATAGACTGTGATCTCAGAACTCAATATCAGTTTTTTGGGGCTGTAACAA